CCCATGTGAAAGGATCGAGAAGATGGGTCTAGACGGGGGGGGGGAGGGGGGGGGGAATTAGACCCTTAACAAGTAAAAGTGGCAGTTTTTAATTTCTTCAAGTAAGGTTGACTTTAGAACATGTGAAAGGGCATCCAATATATCTCAAGCAAGCATGACAAGAGTATAGGCAGCGGAAAGAGTAACACATGCAATTTGCAAGAATGTAATTAAAGGGGTGGGATGGGAGTGTGCAAACGCAATGGAGACGCGGAGAATTTTTGGCGTGGTTCCGATAGGTGGTGCTATCGTACGTCCACGTTGATGGAGACTTCAACCCACAAAGGGTAACAATTGCGTGAGTCCGTGGAGGGCTCCACCCATGAAGGGTCCATGAAGAAGCAACCTTGTCTATCTCACCGTGGCCATTGCCCATGAAGGACTTGCCTCACTCGGGTAGATCTTCACGAACTAGGCGATCTCCTTGCCCTTACAAACTTCTTGGTTCAACTCCACATCACGATGGAGGTTCCCAAATGACACCTAACCAATCTAGGAGACACCACTCTCCAAAAGGTAATAAATGGTGTGTTGATGTTAAATTCCTTGCTCTTGTGCTTCAAATGATAGTCTCCCCAGCACTCAACTCTCTCTCTCTCTCAGATTTGGCTATGGTGGAAGAAGGATTTGAGTGGAAAGCAACTTGGGGAAGGCTAGAAATCAAGGTTCAAATGGTTGGAATGGAATCTCTTGATCTCAACACATGAGTAGGTGGTTCTCTCTCAGAAAATGGATGGTGGAAGTGTAGGCACGTTCTGATGGCTCTCCTCTATGAGAAGAAGGGGGTGGAGAGATTTATAGCCTCCACACAAAATCTAATCGTTACACACTTTGTTGCATATCGGTGGCACCGATTAGTAAACTCGGTAGCACCAATCTGTACAAAAATATGAATGTTCGGATTCTCGGTGGGACCGACTGGAACAACTCGGTGGGACTGATGTACTAGGGCTTAGGGAAAACTTCATCTCAGTGGCACCGATTGCACCATCTCTGTGGGACCGAATTGAGTGCAACGGGCAATAGAGAATCTGTGAAGCCAACTCGGTGGGACTGATTGCATAAACCCACTGGGACCGAAGTGAATGCAACAAGTCATAGATTGCCGGCAAGGCCATCTTGGTGAGACAGAGATCTATATTAGTGTGACCGAACTGTTAGGGTTTCTGGTAGTGGCTATGTCAAGATGAACTCGGTGGCTCCGGATAGAAAGTATCGGTAGGGCCGAGTTGGACTTTAGGGTTTTGACATATTTGGATGGAGAAAGTGGCTGAGGGTTTTGGAGCAATATCACTAAGCATTTGAGCAACTAGACCATTAAGCAACACCTCATCCCCTTTTAATAGTATTGTGTTTCCTATGCGCTCATTGTGATGTTGGATCACCAAAATAGAAATGAAGAGTTTTGAGATTTTGCCAATCCTTATCCTTAGCATTTGGAAGGGGTTCCACATCCTCTTGTCCTTGCCACTCCACTATTGAACTTATCCAAAATATTCTCTATAAAACTATTAGTCCAACAAATGATATGTTGACATTAATTACTAAAATCACCCAGGTAGCACTTGTGCTTTCAATCTCCCCCTTTTTGGGAATTCATGACAACATACATCAAAGCTTCAAGTAAATGATATGAGGAGCAGTAAGTAAAGCTTTGGAAGACCATGTAACATGCATAAGCTCCCCCTACATATGTGCAATCATGTAATGATAGAATTGAAACAACATGTGAATGCACATCAAGACAGAGCAAGTAATGAGTTACATGTATCTTGGCTATATGCATCAGAGCAGAAAGTGAAGTGAGGTGTAGCTTCATGTTTATGACTCTCTCTTGCAAACAGTATGTTCAAAAGCAGTAGATCATCATGCACATGAGTGTGATGCACAAACTTACCTTGTGGTTCTTGATCTGACTCTTGAAGAAGTAGACTTGAGAAAACATGGTTAAATAACAAAAGAGAACTTCAAGCAAGAAAGATTTCAAGGTCCACAAGAGTTCCAAGACTAGGATGATATCTAATATATGAGTACCACAGAGTGAGTACTTCGTTTGAATGTAGACATGTCCCCAAAGGTTTAAAGATTTACAATAAATTCCAAGGATTTTTCTTCCCAAAACATAAGTTTTCCTCTCCCCCTGAATTTAACATTTGATAATGGGAGTAGGTAGGGTAAGATAAAATCAGAGCAAAAGGATATTATAGTAAAGTATGCTCAGAGCAAATTAAGGATTAAAATATGACGGGCATATCTTTCCCCTCTTAAAGATATGTGAATTCTCCCCTCTTATGAAAATGCATCTCTCTTAGAAGAGCTTTGATGTTCTCTCTCTTGTTATATACATAAGCTTTGATGTGCTCTCCCCCCTTTGATGTCAATTTCCAATAAGGGTAGTGTTCATGGATATGAGTTAAGTGAGTGTGGTTCTTGAGAGTCACAACTAAGAAGAATGTAGCTTAAGATGTAGGTAGAGGGAAAGAAACATTGAGTGGATCTGATAAGAGATAGATACTTTAAGATGGTAAAAGACTTTCTCAGCAGTGAAATCGGTGGCACTGGTCCAGTTTAATCAGTGACTCCGAGATAACAAAGTCACTGAAGGTGCATACCGGTGAGACCGAGGTAGTCTGTTTCAGTACAATCGATGAACTGTTGCTCAAGTAGACCTTGTGCTTTGGTCTGGCCAATAGGCTTGAATCGGTGGAACCGAGTTCAATGCAGAGAAAAGATTTTGTCAACTTAGCTCACTTACAGGAGAACTTTCACAAAGATTTTCAAGGAATTTGATAGGATTTGCAATGAATTTACAAAATGCAAAACAGAAAGAGAAATGAAATAAGAAGAATCTAGATGAAGTTTTTTTTGTTTTAGAAGGGAAACACAATAGTAAGAAGAAATGCAAAAGAAATGTATCTACCAGAAAAGAACACTAGAGAACTTCATCTAGGGGTGGTCGGCGACATAGTCACCTATGTTAGGGTATATTGACTTAGGAGTCAAGTGAGATCACTTGATCGTAGGTCATACTCATCGTTAAGATCAAAATGGGGTTACCATTTTTCATTTAAGCATCTTGATGTATTCTCATCTTGTTGAGTTACTTTGGCTCATGTCTTGGAGCAAAGCTTCTGTATGATGGAATGACTTACCTTGGGTTGTGGTGTTGAACTTGATCATGTAGCTGAACTTGTGGTAGATGCTCAATGTTGATGTAGTCCATCAAGAGTTAGAGTCATCCTTTGGATTTTGAAGCTCATATTCCTACATGGGTCAGTCTTGCAATGAATAACACTTGTGTATCCAAATTGACAAGAGCGAAATTTATTATATTGAAATTGTCAAAGGATATGTTGAATGAGTTCATGCTTCCTTGATTTCAACAAGCAAAGTATATATACTTGGTGATGTAGAGATTGCTCAAGATGTGAGTGATTTTCAATCTCATGGATTGAGGCTCATCCAAGCACCTACAAGGGTTAGAGAACATGCAAGGGCGCAAATGTATCCAAGATAAATGATCATCATCATAATAGAAATATCAAGGATTAGTCATATGGGCTTATGCCTTGCATGTACCCAAGGAGTCTCTACTCCAAATTTGAGGCATCCATGATTTTCAACTCGCTCCTCAAACAACAAAATATCTTTTCATCAAGCGGTTTAGTGAAGATATCCACCAATTGCTTATCAGAACAAACGTGTTTAAGATTAATATCTC